ATAAATAAAGAATACACATGAAAAATAAGAAATATAGTACTTGCCTGGGCCTTCTTTTTGTTAGTTGTTGTCAACAATCAATGAAACTTAACCCTACTTTTTATACTAATGGCACTGCTGCACTAAATAATTTTTTTATTGAATTAAATACGGACCTAAGGATACAAAATAATAACATGTAAAAAGCAAATAAATTTCCTTTAACTACCATAATTTTCTGGCTTTCTAACTATGCAATAAGAGCAGCTATCTCTTTTAAACCAGTACTGACAATTTTATAGTTCATTGCACGATATTTTTACTTACCAGATGTACTTCCCTCAGAACCAGTTTGTTCCAAACTTTGAAATTCCTTTTCTTTCTTCACATTTGTAACACGGTACTTTGAACCATCCAGATCATTATCATCATTATCACTGAACTTTGAAATAATCTCATCTTGTGGTAGATCACCATGCTGCTCTGTTTTCACACTAACAAGTTTGTTCTAGAATCAAGTGACACATTCAAAATGTCAATGAAAACAACTAGTACCATTACTGAAGTAGGCAAACACATATAAGGTATTCAAATGTACCTACATATAAATCATGAAGTTATCAAGCTAATATTTCAAAAGCTGGGAATTTGTATCTAAGAAGTGTTTCCAATAAGACAAACAATCAATTGACAAAACAATCAATATCAGTAATGTTAATAAGAACAAAACTACTTGCTGTGTTTCAAAATATGTGTTACACAGCAATGTATGACATTAGTAATTATAAATAATGAATAAGGATTACATTTGTGTGATTGAAAAGATTTAAATGATACAAGCAGTCATTTTAAAATTTACACACTACAATACATTTTAATTCATAACACATTGTTATTCACTTACGCAGGTATTAGTCATTACTGTTTTTATATAATTCCATCAATAACACATCTACTACCTCATTTTATATTGCATAATATATTTGAAGGAATCCATATTGTTAAATAAGTAATTTCAGTATAAAAATAAATAACATTATATTGTTGTTAGCTATATTTTCAATGTTTTAATTTAGATGTTATCAAGAGGGTGCATGAGGTTAAAATCTCATAAATTTGACTAAGACCTAGATATGAGGACATTTAGTTATAAATACTCGTAAACAGTTCATTCAGGGCTAGTAATGGAAAAGTACATGATAAGAAATGTTAACATTTTCTTAAATCAAAAATGTATTTCCAATAATGTTTACCTCCTCTCACAATACAGCTATTACACGACTGCCAGGGAAACCACACTACATCCACAACAGGTATACTCTTCACCCAGAACTTAATTCATGTACTGTGGGTAGAATTTTACATGATTTATCATCACTGTTGGCCAGGCTCCAACCAGACTGCTGAGGTTCCATTAATCGGAGTTGGAATTATAGGGCCACATGGTCCCTACATCCAATGTTGGTGGCTAGAGCAATTAGACTGCAATATATAGATTCTAACCTGTAGCCATAGAGTGATGCGATCCTAGTCATCAGAATCATGAGAAGGTAAGCAACATCGAAATGGAAAAACCTCCTCTTCAACCATAAGAACTCCGAAAAGCAACACCCCAGGCTCAGAATGACAGGATATTGTATGCTATACTCAAACTGAGGAAACGGAACTCATCCTGTCTGGAATTATGAACACCCATCTTCACTACCCAATCACATTACAAAGTGAATTCTTCCTATCTCCGGAATTATGGGGAGGGCATGGAACAAACTGTGCTCAACCAAGGACCCAGGATGGGATCACTCAGCCTTCCGAATTATGAGGAGACAATGGACTCTCTTCCATGAACAATATACTGAATTAATACTGATCAAAAAGAAGGGCCACACTGAACCCAACCAAATAGCTGAGCATCAAATTTGAACCAGTATTATGAGTAGGCTCCCATATAGGCTAGTGCCCCTCCTACCAAAATCTGGGAAAAAAACATTCAGGGACCCAGGTAGGAGGGCCCCCAACTTCACCCTCTTCTCCAAGAGTGGAGAAAATTAACTCTTAACACTGGAGGAAAATCCTCTGTCCACAACCCCAGTGACTGGAAAGTGGGTGTAGTAAGGACTCCCTAGCTCCACTAGTAGAATCTGGGGAAAAATGCACATTGGGGAGTCCTGAGGAATAATGCAATAGGTAAACCATGTTCCCTAAACCTTTAAAAGCAAACCAACCCTGATTTATTTAATCCAATGATTGGTTGGGATGGGCAGGATCCCCTTATGCTTTACTCATGATAGTCCATGAGTAGCGGTCCAGCATAATACAGTAATACCACCCAGTCAGCCTGAAGGTGGTCTTATGGAACACCTCATTTTCACAGAGCCTGTTGCAACATAGATAATGTATATTGAATTAGTAGTTGCTAGTGTGGGATCCTGTGAAAATGATGCAAGAGACATTGAAAGGTAAAGAGACAAGTGTAGCAGTGAAAATACCCATCCCTCTGTATAATCTAGTGTAAGTAGTTGAGATAGTTACAGGGGGTAGTTGAAAACCCTCAGATGAATATACTGCCAGATCATGCAAATAATGCAAGATAAAAGTATTGGGGGAGGTTCACATATCAGCCCACACAATGTCCTCCAGCGGGCAATTCAATTGGGCCATTAAGGGCATAGAAATGTGATGAATCTGATTAGACATGACTCACAGATATCTCCTCACCTTCAAAAAAAGAGTGCAAAATAAACGATATGAATCAACTAAATGATCCAAATGAATACAAAGTCATTACATAACATCTCTAAAGGCATCAGAGCTGGCAATAAAACCTTCAAGATTTGCACTGGACATAACAAATGATCCAAATCTGATTGGTCATTGAATTGAGAAATAGTGATTAAATGAATCAGTGGTTGCCAGTATCTTAAGGAAGAAAAACCAGTCTGAGGATGTAGGTATAATGAAAAAGCATCTTGTGCACAATCAGTGCAAACCATTCTGACCGGCAATGTCTGTAGGTCAGCAGCAATGAAAAAGAAATCTTCAGGAAAAGGTGATACATAGCATACGAGGCTAAGGTCTCAAATGGGTGTTGAGAAAAGGCATGTAATGCCCCACCTTAATATAACAGTTAGGTAACTGGAATGGCCATTTGAGACAAAGGACCCAAAACAACTTGAGGAAGCCAAAAAGTACTGGGGACTCATAGAATTTTTGTCTATAGTATCAATGGTAGTCAATAAGGCTGTCTTATACAGGGCAATTGTGGACGATGCAATACCCTTGCCAAAGAGCTATGTTTAAAATTGAGATATGTTAGGCACTTCTAATCAAAGTGGGTTCAACCTCCTCTTAATACACCATTGCCAATATGTGTACCATTTCCATTGATAAATGTTCATCATGGCACTAAGCAAAGACTGAGACAGATACATGGCAACCTTAGAAAGTAAACCCTGACACCATGTAAAGGACTGCATAACCTACATGCCTGAAGCTTGAGCTTCTGGATAGCTGGGTGTATGATGTCAGATCGTGGCTGCCTCCACAGAGATGGCTAAAGAGGAAGTGGAAGAGGTGGGCACTACTGAAAGTGCCGCAGAAGCAGCAACCAAGGTGTAACTGCCTCTCTGGTGCTATAAAAAGGCTTGACAATGGGTTGGAATGAATCACAGCTAGTAACTTGGGTAACATACAAATTGGAGGGAAGCCCTAGAGTCATAATCCTGTCCTGATCGAATGCATCCACTGCCAAAGTCCAAGGGTGAGGTACTGGAGATCAAATTGTCAGTAGTTGGGTGTGCCAATGAGTGGCCAACCCACCAATCATCATTATCAAAAAAGAGCCAAAACAACAGAAAAACCTCACGATGCAACATCTATTCTGTTGGGATAATCTGCTTGGGTTGAGACAATTGATCTGCTACTGAAGTCATCACCCATGGAACATGGCAAGCTAGTTGGGTGATATGATAGGAATGGTCCTGATAAAGAGATCCAAGGTTCAAGAAACAAAGAGCCCTGGACTACGGGCCCCCCTTGACGGGAATTGCAAGACCCCACCAAGGAATTGTTGGAATGAAGCCTGATGATTTTTGATTTTCCCCTTAATAAGCCCAGATCATGATATATCACCTTTTGAAGAGCAAGAAGGTCTCAAATATTGTGTAGGGAAGCAAAGTCATCCGTGTGTAGACCTTGCTATTCCTGACTGTTGAGATATGCACCCCATCCCTGAAGTGAGGCATTCATGAAGAGATGGAAGTACAAGGTAGTGGCAGAGGAACCTATATCTTAATATTATCCTGATCAAATAACCCCTCAAGACTGAAGAGAATGATCCTGAATAAGGAAACTGGAGAATCCAGGGAATCTATGTTTATGATGTAAATTAAATGACAAATCCTGACTGAAGGACCTGTAGTACCCAGTGATCTGTGGTTAAGGTTTACCACACATCCAAAAATTCTTGGAGCTGAGCCTCACAGACCCTGAATGCATACAATACGTACTGATGCCACTGGCAGCATTCCTACCAAGCAGCAGAACCCATGGATATGGACAAAATCTATTCTGGGTAACAATGTACTGAGGGGCTGATGTCGGGAGTCAGGACCCTTGAATAGGGATGGAACTGTGACACCCTGTCGGAGCTGATGAAAGTCAAGACTTCAACAACACCAGAGATGAATATAGAAGCTGACAATCAAACCAATGTGCATGCTAACAATGGTTCCAATTTGTCATCAATGGAGATAGTGAGATAGAAGCCATGATGCTGGGAGTCAGGACCCTTGAATAGGGATGGAACTGTGACACCCTGTCGGGGCCGATGAAAGTCAAGACTTCAACAACACCAGAGATGAATATAGAAGCTGACAATCAAACCAATGTGCATCAATGGAGATAGTGAGATAGAAGCCATGAAGGAATAATTAGATGAATTAAGTCATAAAGTAGGATATGACTACCAATTGCCAAAGATTAACTGCACTTTGGATGCTCTATCTGGATCAAAATTGTTTTCAACATTGTATTTTAAAAGCTGATATTGATGAATGAAGCTAATATAGAAAAAATAGCCTTTACTTCAGAAAATGGATTGTAGCAATTTGTTGGTTATTATTTGAATTATGTAATAATACTCCTGCTACATTCCAAAGATTAATGGAAAATGCTTTAATAAAGTTTTCTAAAATAAAGTTTAAATCCACTAAAATGAAACAATAGCAAATTCATATGTATACTAGATTTGACACTTTCATATGTCCTCTTCAGTCCATTGTTGGATACTGCCCAACCAAACAGTCCAACTAGATGCCATTTGCTAACCTTTACTGATGACACCATGATAATGAGAGTACCATGGGCATCAATACGCTGAAAGTTCCACCAAGAAAAAAAAACTGAAGAAAGTTATCTACTTATGCTCTAATAAAGTCTTATCTGCTCTATTCTGTACTATGCTCCACCGATGATCAGTATAACTGTTATGCAGATAAATAGGATTGAAAA